AAAATGCAAGTTCAAGGAGAAAAGAGAATAAAGTAAAAAATTTCAACTGTTAAAAAAGTCTAGGCTTAGTGGCTCACTCCTATAATCCTGGCACTCTGGAAAGCCAAAGCAGGAGGATTAGAAGGTTATGAGTTTGAGACCAGTCTGAATGAGAGACTCTATCTTTACCAAAAATAGAAAAAAAATATCCAGATATCCTGGAGACCACCTATAATCCCAGCTTCTCAGGAGACTGAGGCAGGAGGACCACTTGAGCCCAGGAATTAGAGGTTGCAGTGAGCTATAATGCCGCCACTGTAGTCTACCTCCAGGGTGACAGAGTGAGACTGTTTCAAGTAAAAACATTGGAAAACCAAAAAGCTTAAAGGGAAATGTAGACTCATTAATGTTGGAGATTCGAAGATTTCGGTGCTAAAAGCAAAAGGGAAGTTTTCAGAAGATTAGAATGTGTAACTTTTCCTTTTGCATTAGGCAACCCTGGACTATGGAATGTATTCTCGAGAAGAAGAACTATTGAGAGAAAGAAAACGCATTGGAACAGTTGGAATTGCTTCTTATGATTATCACCAAGGAAGTGGGACATTTCTGTTTCAAGCTGGTAGTGGGATTTATCACGTAAAAGATGGAGGGCCACAAGGATTTACAGTAAGTTGGAGTTACTACTGGTTCAATCTGTTTTAAGGTCCAAAAGGTTATTTTACCTAGTTAGAAAGGTCATAAACAAATCATAAACTTCAGTTTATCTATCAACTAAGAAATTAATAGCAGTGAAAACAAATATGGATATTGATTTCCAATTTTAAAGGTTATTTTTTCTAGCAACATTAAGATACAATTTTTTTTTTTTTTTTAAGTAGAGACAGAGTCTCTCCTCATCACCCACGGTAGAATGCTGTGGCCTCACACAGCTCACAGCAACCTCCACTCCTGGGCTTGGGCAATTCTCCTGCCTCAGCCTCCAGAGTAGCTGGGACTATAGGCACCCACCACAATGCCCAGCTATTAAGATACAATTTTTTTTTTTTTTTTTTGAGACAGGAGCCTCAAGCTGTTCCCCTGGGTAGAGTGCCGTGGCATCTCAGCTCACAGCAACCTCCCACTCCTGGGCTCAAGCGAGTCTCCTGCCTCAGCCTCCCAAGTAGCTGGGACCACAGGCGCCCGCCACAACGCCCGGCTATTTTTTGGTTGCAGCCATCATTGTTGTTTGGCGGCCCGGGCCGGATTCATACCCGCCACCTTGGGTGTACATGGCTGGTGCCTTAGCCACTTGAGCCACAGGCGCTGAGCCAAGATACAATTTTTTGAATACTAAAAATACTTGCCACATGGGAAGATAGAGTAAAGGGCATCAATTTCTATTTTCTGTGTAAATACTAAGGGGGACTTTGAAAGATGGTGTTATTATAAGAAAATTTGTTTTTGGGTTTCCTGAAAGCTGATTCATCTTAGTTAATGATTGTATATGTTTAGTTTTAAATTTTAGGCAGTTCATTATGAGCTATTAGAACTGAACTATTCTTTCTTTTTTGAGGCAGTGTCTCTATTACCCTGAGTAAGTACTGTCATAGCTCACAGCAACCTCACACTCTTGGGTTCAGGTGATCCTCTTTCCTCAACCTCCTAAGTAGCTGGGACTATAGGTTTATCCCTAACAAAGGAATAATAGGTTAAGGCAACAAGACTTATGTTTAAGGCAACAAAATTTATGAAGTGTTGTTTTATTTTTATTTATTTTTTTTATTCAGACAGAGTCTCACTTTGTCACCCTCCATAGAGTGCTGTGGCATCATAGCTCACAACAACCTTAAACTCTTGGTCTTAAGCAATCCTCTTGCCTCAGCCTTCTAAGTAGCTGGGACTACAAGTGCCCGCCACAATGCGCAGCTATTTTATTGTTGTTGTTGTTGCAGTTGTCATCGTTTAGCAGGCCCAAGCTAGGCTTGAACCCAACAGCCTCAGTGTATGGGCTGGCATCCCACTCACTGAGCTATGGGCACTGCTGAAGTGCTGTTTTATTGTCTTTATTTCCTCTCATATTACCCTTATAAGTTAAGGCAGTTGAAAGTATATTTTTGGGGGGAGCAGTTAACATACTTGACATTATACTATTCTTTATCTTACGGGAAGAATACTGGCAAACAAATGTGTATGTATCAGCCTGATACTTAAAATACTGTTTTCTAGCAACAACCTTTACGGCCCAATTTAGTGGAAACTAGTTGTCCCAACATACGAATGGATCCAAAATTATGCCCTGCTGATCCAGACTGGATTGCTTTTATACACAGCAATGATATTTGGATATCCAACATTGTAACCAGAGAAGAAAGGAGGCTTACTTATGTGCATAATGGTAAGGTATAGTTGTTCACATCTACTTTTCTGAAATGTGTTTTTAAATTTAAATTTGCTTTTGCTTACATTTTGCAATTTAAGCATACCGAGTTATGTTCATATTTGAAATTCAGGTCTTTAAAAAAATAAAAAAATATAGAGAATAACTAATATGTGCATACATTCTACACGTATAATGCTTCCTTTTGAGATTGGGGAGAGAGGTCTCACTATGTTGTCCAAGCTGGATTCAAACTCTTTTTTTTTTTTTTTTTTGAGACGGAGCCTCAAGCTATCCCCCTGGGTAAAGTGCCATGGCATCACAGCTCACAGCAACCTCCAACTCCTGGGCTCAAGCGAGTCTCCTGCCTCAGCCTCCCAAGTAGCTGGGACCACAGGCGCCCGCCACAACACCTGGCCATTTTTCGGTTGCAGCCATCATTGTTGTTTGGCGGGCCCGGGCTGAGGATTCGGATCCGCATCCGCCACCTTAGGTGTATGTGGCTAGCGCCTTAGCCGCTTGAGCCACAGGCACCGAGCCGATTCAAACTCTTGAGCTCAAACAATCCTCCCTCCTCAGCTTCCCAAGTAGCTGAGACTACAGGCACACCTCACTGTACCCAGCTAATAGTACTCACTAGCTGTAATGTTCATTTTTAAATAGCACAACAATGACATGATTGTTCTTTCAGCCTAATAAGACTGCCAGAATTTCCCAAAACTATTCTCATTTTTGAAAAATTTTAATTTAAAAAAATTAGTCTTTGTTAGGGATACACATAGAAAAAACAATTACACTGTGTAAGAAACTGTCTGAAAATTTATCTTTCCACTTGGGAGTGCCTACTTAGTTATTGTTATCATAATAGGAAAAACAGAACTTTGTAGAACTATGTGTATTATGAAAATATTTAATTATGTTTTATTGAAGTGGCTATAATAATGCTGAACACTACTCAAAGCCCAGAAAAGATGTGAGTGGTTTCCTCTAAAGATTTCATAAATGAAAGATGGGAAATAATGTATTGCTTTTTCTCTGAGCCTGTGAAACAGAGCTAAAGATTAAGCTACATAATGAAGGGTGGTAACTCTGAAAATTCATTTGTGCAACTTTTGCTCAATCTAATGTTCACAAAGCTGATTTACTGGTCATCTTCCTTAGTTATCCCCTTATTATCATCAATCATTAGTTACAACTAATTACAAACATCCTTTGAGAGACTTTACAACAGGTAAGTTATAGATAGGAAAGCAATATAGATTCTGTTCTCAAATTGTTTTTTATCAGGATAGGAAATACTTTATTGAAAAAGTGAAAAATAGGCTGGGCACAGTGGCTCACACCTGTAATCCCAACACTTGGGAGGCTGAGGCAGATGGATTGCCTGAGGTCACAGGTTGGAGACCAGCCTGAGCCAGACCTCATCTCTCAAAATAGGCATTGTGGTAGGTGCCTGTAGTCCCAGTTACTTGGTAGGCTGAGGCAAGAGAATCACATAAGCCCAGGAGTTTGAGATTGCTGTGAGAGGGTGACAAAGTGAGACTCTGTCTCAAAAAAAAAAAAAAAAGTGAAAAATAATACCACAGCCAAATAAAAGAAACTACTATAAAAGCTACTATAAAAATTTTGATCATAGTGTACTATAGTGGATCATGAAACTCTAATATCTGTAGTTAAATTCAAGCTGAATTATTTTATTTATTTTTTTAAGCTATATTATTTTAGTAAACAATAGTGTGTTCATAGCAAACCTGTTTTCATCATGACCATACTCAGCATTGTGGAAGCCTTTACCCAATAGAAAGAACACTGAATTAGGAGTCAAGAAATAAGTTCTGGTGGGCATAGTGGCTCTTGGCTATAGTCTCAGCTTTTTGGGAGGCTGAAGTGGGAGAATAACTTGACACCCAGGGTTCATGCCTGGGCTACATAGCAAGACCCCATCTGTTTAATAAAAGAAAGAAAAGAAGAAATCTATTCTAATTTTTCAATCAGTCAACCACAACTCATTAAATTCTGGTATGCCTGGCAGTGTGTCAGATACTAAAGATACCGAATTGAATGAACTATAGTCTTGACCCTCAAGGAAACTACATAAACAACAGTAAAAGAGAATGAGAAGAGACAAACATAGGACGTTGGTGAGAGAAGGCTTCCCAGAAAAGATAACACCTAAACTGATCCTAAATAATTTCTGTAAGCCAGTGCACTATGGACAAAGGGACTGTGTGAGAAGGATATGAATCCAAAAGACAGCATGGTGTATGTGAGAAATTAGAAAGTAGTGTGCTAATCGTAAAGCCTTACAGTAAAAGTCAAGAAGTAGCAAGAGGCTGGGGCAAGATAAGATAAATCAGGACAAGGACAGGCTGTATCTCGTGTAAATAAATATGGACTTTATCATGATACAGGGGTCCATTGAAAAGATTTCAGCAGTTGAGTGGTATGGTCATAATCATATTGTAGATAAATTGTTCTGGATACTTTATGGAAGTTATATTTCAGAAGCATGAGGCTAAAGAGAGGGAACCAAAGCTTGACTGTTAGAATTTTCCAAGTTATGCGGCCTAAAACTAGAGTATAGGATAGAGAAAAAGGCATAGAATAGAAAAATCTTAAGTAAAAAATTCAAGTTTGGCCTGGTACAGTGGCTCACACCAGTAATCTTAGCATTCTGGAAGGCCAGGGTGAGAGGATCACTGAAGGTCAGGAGTTCAAGACCAGCCTGAGCAAGAGCAAGACCCCTTCTCAGCAAAAAAGTAGGAGAAATTAGCTGGTTAGCTAGGCGAGATGGCTCATGCTTTTAATCCTAGCACTCTGGGAGGCCAAGGCAGGAGGATCGTTTGTGCTCAGAAATTTGAGATCAGCCTGAGCAAGAATAAGACCCTGTCTCTAGGCTCTGCCTGTAGCTCAGCAGCTAGGGTGCCAGCCACATATCATCTGAGATAGCAGGTTTGAACCCAGCCCTGGCTTGCCAAACAACAATGACAACTACACCCCTACACCCAAAATCCAGCCAGGCATTGTGGCGGCTGCCTATAATCCCAGCTACTTGGGGGGCTGAGGCAAGAGAATCACTTAAGCCCAAGAGTTTGAGGGTGTCACCAAGGGTGACATAGTGAGACAGTGTCTCAAAAAAAAAAAAAAAAAAAATGACGCTATCTCTACTAGGATTAGAAACAATCAGCCCAGTGTGGTGATGGCTGCCTGTAGTCCCAGCTACTTAGGAGTCAAAGGCGGAAGGATCTCTTGAGTCTAGATATTTGATGTTGCAGTGAGTTATGATGATGTCAGTACACCCTAGCCAGGGTGACAGAAGAAGACCTTGTCTTAAAACAAAAAAAAGAAATGCAGAGTTGGCGTTTAATGGGTCTCCCTTTGAAGTGAGGAGATCAGAACAGATACTGATGGCAATAGAAAGATTAAGTTGGTAGTTAGTAAATCTGTTTGGAAATGGTAGCCTCGTGCTTTCAATGAACATTAGACTTTTAGTATGTACCAGTTATTGAATCCAAAGCTTTGACTGCAAAGCTCTGACATAGCTGTCACAGTTAACTTTTTTTTTAGTATTTTTTTCTTCTGTAAAATTATTTTCTGCACAGGATTTGCAAAGATTGGCAGAATTTAAAATAGAAAGCAATGGAACTTTATAGGATATTATAGTGATTTTTATGTTTTGTTTTGTTTGAGACAGAGTCTCAGTATGTTGCCCTTGGTAGAGTGCCATTGTGTCACAGCTCACAGCAACCTCAAACTCTTAGGCTTATGCAGTTCTCTTGCTTAAGAAGAGAAGTCCCAAGTAGTTGGGACTATAGGCACCTGCCACAATGTCTGGCTATTTTTGTTGTTGTTGTTGTTTTAGCAGGCCTGGGCAGGGTTCAAACCCACCAGCCCTAGTACATGGGGCCAACACCCTAACCACTGAGCTATGGGCACCAAGCCTATAATAGTGTTTTTATTTTTTTTACCGTGCACATAGATATATGGTACATTTCAGTGTGGTGCTTGAGAATATAGTTAGATCACACTTACATTTATAGCAGTTCAATTCATAATTGCAAAGATGTGGAAACAACTCAAGTTTTCATCAACCCATGAATAAACTGTGGTATGTGTATACCCTGGAATACTATTCAGCCATAAAGAAAGATGGGAACTATGTCTTTTATATTTATATGGAAGGATTTTCAGAACACCCTTCTTTTTTTTTTTTTTTTTTTTGAGACAGAGCCTCAAGCTGTCCCCCTGGGTAGAGTGCTGTGGCATTACAGCTCACAGCAACCTCCAACTCCTGGGCTCAAGCGAGTCTCCTGCCTCCACCTCCCAAGTAGCTGGGACCACAGGTGCCCGCCACAACACCCAGCTATTTTTTGGTTGCAGCCGTCATTGTTGTTTGGTGGGTCCGGGCTGGGGATTCGAACCTGCCACCTTAGGTGTACGTGGCTGGCGCCTTAGCCAGTTGAGCTATAGGCGCTGAGCCAGAACACCCTTCTAAGGAAAGTATGACAAGAATGGAAAAGTAAGCATCCAGTGTAAATATATATGTATATATATTTTTTGAGACAGGGTTTCACTTTGTCACTTTCGGTAGAGTGCTGTGGCATCATAGCTTACAGCAATCTCAAACTCTTGGGCTCAAGCAATTCTCTTGCCTCAGCCTCCTGAGTAGCTGGGACTACAGGTACCTACCACAACACCTGGCTATCTTTAGAGCCAGGATCTCTTGCTCAGGCTAGTCTCAAACCTGTCAGCTCAGGGCAATCCACCTGCCTCAGCCTTCCAGAGTGCTAGGATTATAGACGTGAGCCACCGTTCCTGGGACAGTGTAAATATTAATGTGAAAGTAGATGAACAACTTTATGTCCACATAAGAGAAAACACTTAAATTCAAGAAGGGCATACAGGGATTGGTAAGCGCTCACCTATCGGGTACATTGTAGGGGTAAGTAGCACTCTCCTGGGTGAAGGGCTCAACTGCAACTTGGACATTACCTAAGAAAGGCAAAAAATGTAACTTAATGGTATGTACTCTTACATTAATCTAAAATTCAAAAAAAGGAATATGGGGCAGTGCCTGTGACTCAAGGAGTAGGGTGTTGGCCCCATATCCTGGAGGTGGCAGGTTCAAACCTGGCGCTGGCCAAAAACTGCAACAATAACAACAAAACAAAACAAAAAAAAGGAATATGGATAGAGAATATAGAGTATAATATAATTAGTCTATGTGGATTTGAGTCCCAGATATACTGTTAATTAACTTCATAACCTTGAGCAAGGTATTTAACAAATCTTAGTTTCTGCATCTGTAAAAATGTTAACTAATAACACATGAAGATGAGTTTGATGTGATGCTTTAATGAGTCAGTATTACAAAGTATTTAGGACACTGCCTGAAATACAGTAAATGTGATGTGCTTGTTTAATCAGAAAGATAGGTAGGGAGTGAGCATCAACATATTCCACTTTGTTACAATAGGGTTCTAAGAGAAAGTCCACTTTAGGTGGGTTTAGTCAATCCCCATGTGCATGTTTTTCTTCTTTGCCTCGTATGATAGAAGAATTTAAAAGTAATAAAGTCCAAACTTTGGCTTACAGTGACTTATTGGGAAAGCAAGATGATAGCATTTATTTAATAAATAACTTAATTGACATCTTTAATAAGTGAAGAGCATACAAGTGTCCTCAAACTACGGCCCACGGGCCACATTGCGGCCCGCCAAGGACATTTATCCCGTCAGCCGGGTTTTTTTGCCACTGCTCCCTGTCCTGCTTAGCAGCCAACTCATCCCGAGGCCTGCAGTCCAGCCCTCCAACAGACAGAGACAGTGAACTGGCCCCCTGTTGAAAAAGTTTGAGGACCCCTGGCATATACAAATGAGTGGTAGGTATCCTCATATCTAAAGGAAAACAAAATATAAAATAGTATAGGGCATTTAATTAGGGGGTAGTTGAAAGGTCCAAGAAAACTGAGCTTGGCTCTATTGTTAACTCCAAAATTCGAAACACTCTGAAAAATGAGTTTAGTTTTCATTAGTTTGGTGCTAAAATTCATTTGGCAGTAAAACTTGACCTGCACTGACCTGAGGATATTTATAATCTTAATTCTACTTAGAGTGCCTATTCATAAGTGTGCTACAGGAATATTGGTGTATTTGATTACAGGGTATTTGGTTACCCTACTGGAGATGTTATAAAATATTTAAATTTTTGGATAAGGGATCATTGGTTTATATTGCCCTTCCATTTCAGACAGTATAGAAAATAACAGATAAGCAAAAGTAATAAATTAAAATTTGCCTATAAAATTAAAATCAGCTGGGTGCAGAGTCTCACTTCTGTAATCTTAGCACTTTGGGAGGCTGAGCCAGGTAAATTGCTTGAACTTAGGAATTTGAGACCAGTCTGTACAAGAGCAAGACCCCATCTCTACTAAAAATAGAAAAAACTAGCTGGTTGTGGTAGCACATGTCTGTAGTCCCAGCTACTCTGGCAGGGCTGAGGCAGGAGTTGCTGTGAGCTGTGATGCTACAGCACTCTAGCCTGGGGCAACAGAGTGAGACTCTGCCTCAAAAAATAAATACATAAGTAAAAATAAAATAATTGTAATCTAGCGTATTTGAAACCTGAGGCTTACCAAGTGACCTCTATTTAAGGTGAAAGGCAGGAGGATCACTTGAGGCCAGCAATTTTGAGACCCACCTGAGCAACATAGTAAGACCCTGTTTTTACAAGAAATTAAAAAGAAAAATTAGCCAGGTGTAGTGGTCTATGCTCATAGTCCTAGTTACTTAAGAGGCTAAAGCAAGAGGATATTTTGAGCCCTTGAAGTTCAAGGTTACAGTGAGCTATGATTGTCATTGCACTCTAGCCTGAGCAACAAAGGATGACACTATCTCTGAAAAAAAAAAAATTAAAATTTCTAAAAGAAATGTAGTATACAGTGGAATACTACTCAGCAATTAACAGGGATGAACCTGATACATATAATTACAACATTGGTGAATTTCAAGAAGCAACTGATCATAAAGTACCTACTGTATGATTCATTTACATGAAATTTTACAATATGTAGAACTAATCTGTGGTGGTGAAATTCCGATCAGTGATTGTTTCTGAGGCAGGAGTGGGTATTGACTGGAAAATGAGAAAACATTCTTAGGTATTAGAAATTTTGTGTGTCTTGATAAAGTCTGGTCATACAAGCATATGCGTTTTTCAAAAATAGAGTACATTTAAGGTTTTGTAAATTATAAAACACAAATAACTTTATAATTGCACTAGTTGGAGATAATTATATTTTGGTCTATATCTCAGAATTTTTTTTTTTGGCCGGGGCTGGGTTTGAACCTGCCACCTCCGGCATATGGGGCTGGCGCCCT